TGGCCCATATCAACTAACTTTCAGCGTTTTCTCACAATACAGAAGCTTTTGAAAGAAGGAAAGTGTATATTCTGTTCACGCACCTGTAAAATTACGATAAATATCCTTCCACTTGCTGTTTTTCCTTAGGATGGAATCCTGGTGATTTTATAAAAGATGTTAAACACATTAGTTAGTCAGCATCTCACTGTGGAGGTGTTTTCTTAGCCACGGCTAGCTGCTAGGCTGGAACTAGCTTTCCGGGCAGCTGGTGTTCTGTCGCTGAACGAATCGATTCTTTTGAACCCGTTCCATGGCTAGCCGCTAGCCTGGAACTAGCTTTCCGGGCAGCTGGTGTTCTGTCGCTGAACGAATCGATTCTTTTGAACCCGTTCCATGGCTAGCCGCTAGCCTGGAACTAGCTTTCCGGGCAGCTGGTGTTCTGTCGCTGAACGAATCGATTCTTTTGAACCCGTTCCTTCATAACGCGACACTGAGCAAATGAAAGTATTATGATCATTGCAATGCACGTATTTGTGGATGAAACGCCTAATAATGTGTCTCAATGTAGAAATTATAGACATCACGTTCGATATTAGGTTAATATTGGGCTATATGATTTGCAAAGTGATTCAAAATCAAAAGAGTTGGATCTCAAAAATTAATTGGAACGWCGGAACGCGCGCAGTCGATTCATCAGTCGATTCGTCACTTAATTAAGACGTCATCACCGCTGTAATCCCAAAAATACCATTCCTGTAATCAGAAAACTATTGTATTATAATTATTTTTAAAATGTATATTTCTTTTCTTTCTTTCTTTTTTCCTTTTTGCCCTTTGTTTTTGTGTAGGTCTTTGTAGATTTTTCTACAAATACAGCTTACCTACACACAGGTAAATTAACTACATAAATCAAATCAAACCCAAATGGACATTTCCAAACTGTCAAACTGTATAAACTAATAAAGTGATTTCCTTATAGTTAAATACAAATAAAAAGTATTTGTTAAATTTAACTTCACAAGTCCAAACAGTGTCTAATAAATACAATTTTAGTAGGACAAAATGCAATGATAACACTGGACTCTGCATCTTTAAAAAACAAACAAACAAGTACATAAAAGTTCAGATTACATAATTTACATATTAAGCAAATGTTTTGTTGGGTAGCAAGCCCACTAGAGAATGAACCTTCAAAGAGGCAAATAAAGTCTTACATTTAGACTGCAAAATAGGAAATAACCAGTCAGACATCAGTGTTTGCCATTAATCTTCTCTGTGACTTAACCATAAACAAATTTCTAATTAATTAATGAAAACTCTTGCAGTTAGAAATGAATGCTGCAAGTAATATTTTAATCTGCCACAACACTATTTTGTTGGAGAAAATTAATAAATAAGAAGTCAAAGCCTTTGTGCACCTTACATCCACCTGACACAGGTGTGGAAAAGCAAGAGCAGCAGGATGGGGATTACAGCAGCAAATGTGTTTAGCAGCTTTAACAAAGGAGGCAGAACAGAGGACACACTTGACAGCTTTAACAGCATTACTGACATCACTTAATCAATCTGCTTAATCCAATTTTATTCACTGACAGGGAGGAGAGAGAGAGGCAAGGAGGAAGAAGCATTGTGAATAATTTGTAATGGAAGGTGTTATATTTTCACGTTTGTTTGTTTCTTTTACATCAGAAAACATAAAATTAGGCACTTCACCCCAGATATTCAGTAACTCCAAATTTTATTAAATCATCAATGATGTTATAGTTGTGTTGAGCATCACGTCTCTCTATGGTCACCTCACTTTTTAGTTTTCTTAAAACCATAAATCACATTTTCATACACTGCCTTATTAAATGTTTCCTTTTCTCTGGGTGAACAGGGATGATTTTATTGCAAAAAAAGAAAAACAATGTTCATTTTTAGAAGTAATAAAGTGGTTAAGGATGTTTTTGGGTAACAATGACAGATTAACTGTTCATGTACAGTACATAACAGGAAAAATAAAATAAAAAAATAAACAATRAAATGTCTCCAGTTGACCATTTCTTTGTTAATGAGGATACCACAGTAGAATTTCATTGAGGACATTATAGTTAATCTTATCCGTGATATTCACAATGAAAATCCTACACCTAATTTTGTCAAATTCACAGAAGTGTCCTCATTGTGTCCCCCTTTGTRAATGAAAATAATATAGCTCTCTTTGTAAAAACTATTTACAGGTGTGTACATGGTGGGARGTTCAGGCGGTAGCGGGGGCAGCCTCTCCTTCTTGGACCTGGTTTTTGAGCAGGAGGAACTTCAGCATGGGGTTGACGTACTCCATGATGGTTTCTTTCACCCCCTTCTCCAGCAGGTACCCTTCTGTCTCGATCTCGGTGTTTTCCTTCCCTGCCACTGCTTCCATGGCCGTCTGCAGGAAGCGCAAGCTCACCAGGACAGAACCCTGCGGAGGGAGGAGGTTTTAACACAACCTGGTACTAAAAAYCAAGAAGGACAACCAAATGCAAGAATTATTCTCTCTAGGTGACAACCCCACCACAATRTAAAAATAATTTTAATTACAAAAAATCAACCAAAAGGATCGTGGTCTTCAGGAGTACATTAGTGGATTATTAGTTTGCACAAAATGTCTGTAATGAGGACCTCATTATTAAAGAAATAGTTGGGTCAGTTTTAAAGTGATGATCAGTCACATATTTATCAATAGTTAGTTCCTTATTAGCTGAACAAGTGTGGAAAAAACAGTTTATTGTTTTTTCCCACATTATTACTCAGTCTGCCAAACACACCCTGACATGTTTCTGTAGAAAAAAGGATTTACATGTAAATATGTCTGTTACTAAAA